CCCAAAATTTCAAGATTCTAGCTTCAGCCATTTTGTCTGGGCGTTGATGAATCGTTAAATCAGTCAGTCAAACACTTTACTCTTTTATTAGTATAGATTATATAAACTAAACAAATTGGAATGAAACGTGGTTTCAAATCCATAACCTCTTGTATTTTCATATATTATATTATATATTACCACATATTATATTATTTATTATGGTATTAACATTGTAGTATATACAATGCTAATAATAAAAGTATCTAGCATTAGCTACAATGGCCATCAGCTAAATCGGTTGACAATTCTTAATAATTTTATTAAATAGTAATTTTAAGATGAAGTATGTAGTTAAATATCTTATTAATATTGGCAGTAGTAGGTGATAGTAAAATATTGGTTCCATCGTTGTTGGGGTAGTTGAGGCGGGCTCTGTCGAAAGTGTTGCAAGTTTCTAAAATATGTTGTGCTGTGTAGATATTTCCACATTTGAGACACTTGTTGTCAAAACTTGTGTTAATGAGATGTTGGTGTGTGGCAATAGTATGACCCATTCGAAGTCTTGAAAATATGCGCACTTGCTTTTTAGGTAAATTGGTAGGATAGACGGGCACTATGCAGTTGGGATTTATTTTGTTATAGTGCACATGTTCAAATAACATGTGTTGTTGTTTAGCATTTTGTTTAAGTTTGTGTTTTATACATGTTTTTAAATCTATTTTTTTTTCGATTATTCCATCTAACAACACTGGAGCGGTGCAGGCGTACTTTGCTGCTTTATCGGCGTTTTCGTTTTCTTCAATTCCAACGTGTCCAGGTACCCAGAAAAGTTTTATGTAGTTGTTCTCGGTTAGCAAATCCCGAATTTTGTTAATTGAAGCCCAACTGTTGTTTGATGTGCATAACACCGATCTTAGAACCGATAAACTGTCGGAAATAATTATTGTTTCTTGTTGTGAATGGATTGCAATATTGATAGCTTCTATAATGCCAGCAGCTTCGGCCGTGAAGATAGATGAAAAATCAGCAAGGGTTTTAATGGATAGAGTATCGCCATTGGAATCAACAACTGGGTATGCGGAGACTGAGTTTGTTTTTGAGGCATCAGTGTATAACAACCAGCGTTCGAAAATAAACATTATGGTGCCGTTCCATAGTGTTCTGTACCGTACCAAGGTGGATAGGTACACTAAAATAACGTACCGTACCGGTACACAAATACTGGGTTACACTGGTCGGAACACTAAAAATTTTAGTGTTCCACTGGTCGGAACACTAAAAATCTTTGTGTTCCACTTGCCGGAACACTAAAAATCGTAGTTTTTCCGATCAGCACAATCGATTATTAGCCAAAGTGCAATCCAATGGAATTTTCAGTTACGAGTTGGCATCAGATTGAATTTTCACTAGACGAACTTTTTTAGTTATAAAATATTTAATGTTGATGATGTTGATGCTAATATAATATTACTAATTTTTAATAAAATATAAACAAATACAAATTTAATAAGTTATTATATTTATTAAATCTATTAAAGAACAAAAAAATATAAAATACATCTTTTTGTGTTCCGACAAATGGAACACTACGATTTTAAGTGTTCCGCCAAGTGGAGCAGAACACTGATAAGAACTGCCAAGACGAGTATTGTATTATATATTATATTATATTATATATCTTAATCGGAATAAATAAGAAAATTAAAAAACCTCGTTTATTTATTAAGATAACAAAAAACCAATTTATTTGATATCGTTTTGTCTAAATAAAGTTAAAAAATAAAATTACTCGAATGGTAGTTTTAGTAATTTTGATTCTCTGAAAATTGTATTTAGTTATTTTTGTTGGTCTGGATTTGCTGCTCCCGATACAAAAAGTAGTATTACAACCGGAACAATGTAAATCCACTGAAATACATAAATACAAAATTATTAGTTAGACGCATTCACCATAAAACATAAATGATCTCAACGGCGATTTTTATACCACTATAACTTTTGAGCACCTATGAAAATATTCACATTATTCTAATAGAATTTATATTGATACTAGCCATATAAGATAAAATTATTAAATTTTGCTATCATTCTTGCCTTTTTTTATTTCTTCAATGATCTATTGATAAATAGAAGCAGTAATTCCTCTGTTGGAGGAGATCTGGCGATACAAGCATTACGTCTTAAGTGGATCGATTTCTTCCAGAAAATTTAATCGCTTACTAAATAACGGTTGGTCTACATAATGAGAGAATAAATAGCGGTATTTGCGAAAGCTTGTAAACTAGTATTGTAAATGAATTTTAATTTACCACAGGGCTGTACATTTACTCCACAAATAAGTATTGTAAACTACGTACATTATTTTTACAAGGGTGTAGAACATCTGATTGTTTTGCCGCCATTTTGTTGTGAGCTTTATTTTGTTTCGGAGTTTTTTTTTTTTTTTTTTTTGAAAAATTAAAAACTATGGAGGCCAAGAAACATCATATTTTACAAATTGGTACACAACACAAAAAAGACGCTCACACATCGTTGTAAAAAACATTTAAAAGGGTTGTATATTTACAAGCTTTAGTGAATACCGCTAATAATGCTGTTACGGAAACGGATATGGTTGAGTATGCACATGAACGCATTGGTAAGGTATATTTGTATTGTGGAAATAAGGCTCAAAAGTTACAAAGCTTACATTTTATTCAGTCGTCTTAATCATTTATGCTATTTAGAACAGATTTATACAATATACATAATTCAAATTAGATCTACTTACGTATTTTGCAAAGAAACCGCGGTTATCTTTAACATCGCCTCGTTCCCTTGCTTCACGTTCACGTTCAATTTTTTGAATGAAAGAAGCTGTGTCCGGAATCGGTGCCAATTCGGTATGTTTTATTAATACGTCCGTGTTATATTGTTTTGTAGACATAGTTAAATCCAAAGAAGAACACTCATTGATGTCTGCACTTGAGGTTGTTAAGGTTACAGCATTAACATAACCATTACCGTCAATTGCAATCCAAAGTTCGTCATTTAGTTGTGAATTCAATATACTACATGCCTTGTTTGCTGTTGTAAAAGTTCTCTTTAAGCCATTGGGATATTCAATGATAGCTTTTATGCGGTAGAATTCATTTTTAACTGCTATGGTCTAAAGAAAATTATAAATAAACCAGAAATATATACAGCGTGTTCGTTTGTGTTATAACTTTTCTGCAACTTTTGAGTTTGTACATTAGATTATATCTATTATCTATTAGAATCTATTGAATAATAAACCTTTTTTTAGTCAATATTAGACAAAAGTCAAAAAGTCATAACTCTGTTGTCCATGATGCTTTAGTTATCTTAGAAAACTGTTCCTCATATGCTATCCTAACCTCTAACGGTTCGTACTGCATGTTCAAAAATTAAAATTACAGTTTAAAATCTCTCTAACAACACTAATCTTTCCCAAATTGAACCAAACTACTTTTATATGAATGCTAATTTTATCAGATGTAAATTTGAAAAATTGTTTATTTTGCAAATACTTTTTTTTAATGAAAATACCATGGTACAATTATAAAAAACAAATCCCAGCTGATTCCAACGTAATACTAGTGTCAATATGAATTTGACAAATTATGTTTTTAAAAATCACCCAACAGGAAAATTGGGAACGTATACAATTTGAAATTGTTCTTTATTAAATGTGCTCACGTATTCTATTTACTCAATCTGCCTGCTGGGAAAGTTAGAGGAAGCAAACCTTTATTCATGGAATGACTCGCAATTCTCTGCATTTTCATACAACAACACTTGCTGTTACCTTCTATTATTATACCATGTGAAAATAAATGGCATAATTATACAAGGTAGTCTGATGCAGTCATATGTTTTTTAATAAAAATACATGGCGTAATTATACAAGTCATATGTTTCCAATTTTTTCATAAATTTGTTTTTGACAACATTCTGCTTTCAAAATTTAAATGAAAATATTTTGAAGTTCCCTGTATCTAAAACTTAAAAATATAAGTTGTAACAATCATGGTTAAATTTTGGAAGTAATGTGCAGCTTTAGGAAATATATATTTTGTTTAATTTATTGCAACTGTGCCAATCGTCATACATACAATTTTATGGAATTTATTTTTCATTTTATTTGGAATTGGTATATGAATTTTATATTAAGAAGGCTTGCCATTAGCAATATCTCAAATGAGGCTACCTTCCACAATTATGCCATGATAAAAATATTGAGATACTTAAGAATAAACGTTTTTATTTTTAACCATAAAAGGTTCGTACGACAATAAATTTAATTTAGCATAGAATGACATCACTTTTTTAATTATTCTATTATTTTTCACAATTATTAATGTTTTGCAGTCATTTGGTGTGCTAGGATTCAATATTTCACCAATTTTTCCTCATTTGGGGTTCATAAGAATTTTAACATCCCCTTATAATTGGAGTTATAAAAACCAATATGTCTATATTAATGTCATAGGTCTATATTCATAGACCATATTTGGTCTGTATAGATGCCGATTGAAAGTGTATAGAGACCACAGGAGTGTATAAAGACCATAGTATGAAGTTTGGTATGAGTATGAGAGTTTGGTACTTTGTTTACGTTCTCTAATAAAGATACAGGTCTATAAATAGATCGATTATATAGAAGAAGTGTATGGATACCACTGCTCTGCAGAGATCTGTATAAAATATCATTTTTTTACTCAAAGAACCAAATTGAAGGACCAATTTTTTTAGTGTTTGTGTTCCTGGTACGGTACACTACGATAGTGTACCGTTTTTTTTGCGAACACTGATAAGAACTGCCAAGACGAGTATTGTATTATATATTATATTATATATCTTAATCGGAATAAATAAGAAAATTAAAAAACCTCGTTTATTTATTAAGATAACAAAAAACCAATTTATTTGATATCGTTTTGTCTAAATAAAGTTAAAAAATAAAATTACTCGAATGGTAGTTTTAGTAATTTTGATTCTCTGAAAATTGTATTTAGTTATTTTTGTTGGTCTGGATTTGCTGCTCCCGATACAAAAAGTAGTATTACAACCGGAACAATGTAAATCCACTGAAATACATAAATACAAAATTATTAGTTAGACGCATTCACCATAAAACATAAATGATCTCAACGGCGATTTTTATACCACTATAACTTTTGAGCACCTATGAAAATATTCACATTATTCTAATAGAATTTATATTGATACTAGCCATATAAGATAAAATTATTAAATTTTGCTATCATTCTTGCCTTTTTTTATTTCTTCAATGATCTATTGATAAATAGAAGCAGTAATTCCTCTGTTGGAGGAGATCTGGCGATACAAGCATTACGTCTTAAGTGGATCGATTTCTTCCAGAAAATTTAATCGCTTACTAAATAACGGTTGGTCTACATAATGAGAGAATAAATAGCGGTATTTGCGAAAGCTTGTAAACTAGTATTGTAAATGAATTTTAATTTACCACAGGGCTGTACATTTACTCCACAAATAAGTATTGTAAACTACGTACATTATTTTTACAAGGGTGTAGAACATCTGATTGTTTTGCCGCCATTTTGTTGTGAGCTTTATTTTGTTTCGGAGTTTTTTTTTTGAAAAATTAAAAACTATGGAGGCCAAGAAACATCATATTTTACAAATTGGTACACAACACAAAAAAGACGCTCACACATCGTTGTAAAAAACATTTAAAAGGGTTGTATATTTACAAGCTTTAGTGAATACCGCTAATAATGCTGTTACGGAAACGGATATGGTTGAGTATGCACATGAACGCATTGGTAAGGTATATTTGTATTGTGGAAATAAGGCTCAAAAGTTACAAAGCTTACATTTTATTCAGTCGTCTTAATCATTTATGCTATTTAGAACAGATTTATACAATATACATAATTCAAATTAGATCTACTTACGTATTTTGCAAAGAAACCGCGGTTATCTTTAACATCGCCTCGTTCCCTTGCTTCACGTTCACGTTCAATTTTTTGAATGAAAGAAGCTGTGTCCGGAATCGGTGCCAATTCGGTATGTTTTATTAATACGTCCGTGTTATATTGTTTTGTAGACATAGTTAAATCCAAAGAAGAACACTCATTGATGTCTGCACTTGAGGTTGTTAAGGTTACAGCATTAACATAACCATTACCGTCAATTGCAATCCAAAGTTCGTCATTTAGTTGTGAATTCAATATACTACATGCCTTGTTTGCTGTTGTAAAAGTTCTCTTTAAGCCATTGGGATATTCAATGATAGCTTTTATGCGGTAGAATTCATTTTTAACTGCTATGGTCTAAAGAAAATTATAAATAAACCAGAAATATATACAGCGTGTTCGTTTGTGTTATAACTTTTCTGCAACTTTTGAGTTTGTACATTAGATTATATCTATTATCTATTAGAATCTATTGAATAATAAACCTTTTTTTAGTCAATATTAGAAAAGTCAAAAAGTCATAACTCTGTTGTCCATGATGCTTTAGTTATCTTAGAAAACTGTTCCTCATATGCTATCCTAACCTCTAACGGTTCGTACTGCATGTTCAAAAATTAAAATTACAGTTTAAAATCTCTCTAACAACACTAATCTTTCCCAAATTGAACCAAACTACTTTTATATGAATGCTAATTTTATCAGATGTAAATTTGAAAAATTGTTTATTTTGCAAATACTTTTTTTTAATGAAAATACCATGGTACAATTATAAAAAACAAATCCCAGCTGATTCCAACGTAATACTAGTGTCAATATGAATTTGACAAATTATGTTTTTAAAAATCACCCAACAGGAAAATTGGGAACGTATACAATTTGAAATTGTTCTTTATTAAATGTGCTCACGTATTCTATTTACTCAATCTGCCTGCTGGGAAAGTTAGAGGAAGCAAACCTTTATTCATGGAATGACTCGCAATTCTCTGCATTTTCATACAACAACACTTGCTGTTACCTTCTATTATTATACCATGTGAAAATAAATGGCATAATTATACAAGGTAGTCTGATGCAGTCATATGTTTTTTAATAAAAATACATGGCGTAATTATACAAGTCATATGTTTCCAATTTTTTCATAAATTTGTTTTTGACAACATTCTGCTTTCAAAATTTAAATGAAAATATTTTGAAGTTCCCTGTATCTAAAACTTAAAAATATAAGTTGTAACAATCATGGTTAAATTTTGGAAGTAATGTGCAGCTTTAGGAAATATATATTTTGTTTAATTTATTGCAACTGTGCCAATCGTCATACATACAATTTTATGGAATTTATTTTTCATTTTATTTGGAATTGGTATATGAATTTTATATTAAGAAGGCTTGCCATTAGCAATATCTCAAA